AAGTGGCTCTGAAGCTTTTCCAAAGCATTTCGGAAGCTCTGAACCACTTTGGAAAGCCTAACAAAGCCATCGCTTTGATCCAGACATGTCGCTTTGGACGCCGAAGCATCCAAAGCTTCTCCGGATCTGAAACCTCACACAGTCCTAATGCTTAGCTATTTGAAACCTGTCTCACGCAGCCACCTTTTCCTCAACTGGAAGACTGCACTGGCAGTGATTTCTCATCAAATCTCAGGTTATTTAAAAATAAATCCCACTTTCAAACACAGCCTGTCACCTTAGCGAATTTGTCCCTAGGGACTAAACAATGAGCAGGAGACTGTGAGAACAGCCACTGGACTCTTCTTTTCCTGATGCTTCTTGTGGAGATTTAGTCAGAAATTTTTCTCCAACATCTTATCTTTGTATAGCTTATTACAAAATTACTATTTCCAGGATCACAAAGAGAAGTGCTGCTAATAGTCATCAGGCCAGCATTGCCAAGGATAGATCCTTTTCCTGTAGTCATGTGATTTGCCATTTCTGGAGAAAAACTAAAATTAAAAAGACAAAAACATACAAGAAAATCTCATACCCCTAAACATTTTGCATTGGATTTTGATAAAAACTTGGTTCATAACCATTATTTACTGCCACACAAATAATTAGCTTAGTTAACTATTTCTAATGATAAAGAGAAATCAATCAAGATGCAAACATTTTCAATTTTACAGGCAAGCAGTTCCAAAGCTGAACTACAATATTGTGCATTTTGAATAATCTATGTACTATTACAGTGATCCCTACAACACTAGGTTGTTTCAATCTAAAGGCAGCAACAACACATAAAGAAGAAAGGATTTGCCTCAAAAATAATAAAAATTTTATTGAACAATATTTCTTATACAAACTTTATAGTTAGAGATACTGCCTTTTATCTCAGTAATCACATACCCCAATCTTCTTACGCTTCCTTTCCCTATTACAAGCCAACTGACTTAGGTGGCACCAGTTTTCCATGCCGAGATGTCATCTAGTCCAAACCCCTGCCTGATGCAGGATCATCCCTAGCCAAGCTATTCCATACAACCATAATCTAAACTTCACAGAAAACTACCCTGAACCCTGACACAACATAGACCTAATACCTTAGCCTGCCACAGGTGAAGCAAGGGAATTATGGCAGCCAATGTCCTGCTTCTGTAACATGTTGTCAATATATGCTCAAGTGGTCTTGGGTAGAGTCCTGCTACAGAGGAAGTCAAAACCCCCCACACTCCATACCAATCACAGTCCATAGGGCAAAATTTCTTCCCGACTCCAAATATGGCAATGTGTGACCCTGAATGGAAGGGCAAGACCCTCTCGCCTGGAACCTGACATTGCTCCTAGCACAGGGGTGGGCAATTATTTTGGGTGGAGGGCCGCTTACTGAGTTTTGGCAACCCATCAAGGGCCACATGACAGGCAGCCAGGGGCAGATCAATGTTACTTTTCTAAATTTTTTAGGGGTCCTGCGGGCTGGATAGACTGGCCTAATGGGCTGCATTTTGCCTACCCCTGTCCTAGCAAGAGAATCAGCAGACTCCAGTTGAAGTTCCCAGTAGAGATGTAAACAGTTAAACAACAGTTATATTTATATTGTTTACTGCTCATCATTTAGTGACCTCCAGCAGGAATGGCCCCCACCCCTTACGACTTCACCATGCACCGTGTGCAAGCCCCAGGCTGCTGGTAGGGAGGCATGGGTGGGGACCAACAGGCACAGCCAAGCCACTAGGGGGGCTGCCCAGCTGTAGAGCAATGTCTTCCCTTCC